CACACACACACACACACACACACACACACACACACACACACACCTTTACTACCCAAAATAAAGTTGCTAGGATTTCTTCCCAATTAAAAACTACTTGTGAATATTATTTAGTTCTTTATATTTGAATGATTCCCATTTTACTGTCTGTGTTAAATTTCTCCAGTGCATTTTAGTTTTCAAATTATCACCTTAAAAACTTAGACATAAGCATTGAATAAACATACACTTATTTCAGACAAACTGGTATCCTAAAAAAAATCTTTTAATTTTATCCCATAATAGTAACATGTATTTTGATTATGTGCTTACAGAGATCATGAAGTTTGATAACTGTATCAAAAAATGTTCTTATATCTTTATGTTAATTAGCATTGTCAGAAAAAGCATTACAAAGAAAGAACATTTTGCCAAACACCAATAGTTTAACAAAGAATAAATGGTGTCACCTACACTTTATAAACAGGAAATATTCTACGTTCTAGTTAATTATGTTTTTAAAGTCTACAGAAGCAACAGGTTCTACCTCTAGGGAAATTATTCATATTGTTTCTTATTAGTCACCTAAAGAGGAGAAAAGACCAGAGGACAGAAAAGTTGCTGAGATGATTCAATATGTAAATAAACTGAAAACTGAAGAATTCATTGTATTTCAACAAACATCAAAGGCTTATTATACATTGTGTAGCGTGTCCAATACTGCTAGGAAATCAATGATTAATTAATGACATTTTATTTTTCTGTCATCACAGAGCTCTCAGTTCAGCACGGATCAAGACAAGCAATAAAATTTATAAATAATGAGACAAAAGTGACAATAAAAGCATGTAGATGAAAACCAGTGGAAATATTCATGGAACTCTGAGAACTAGACAAGCTGAAGAAGAAAAGAAATGCTTAAGAGTGACACAGAGACTGGGCTGGGAAGGACTCTATGTACCCTGCCTGTTCACTGTCAACTTGCATCCTCACCTCCTCAATTAATTCAGCTTTGATTTTTGCCAATATAGATCTCTAAATCCTTAATAATTTCTTAACATTTAAAAAATGTATGTGGCCAAACATTTATTTTAATCATTGTACTTCTTAACCACTGAATGACTTTGGTAAATGTTTTCTTATTTTTACTGTTTCTTACTCCCTGCTCAGATTCTAGTCCTGCTCATAGCACCATCCATATAAGCACACATATTTTGTTTTATGTGCCTGATAACATTCATATAGACTCTGGAGACTATTTCTGCAGTGTGTGCTGGCTCTCACTCATGGAGTTGCACTTCCTTGTGTTTTGTTCCTAACAACTTTGGAAGCTTTAGTTGAAGATGAGTTATTTCAAGGTTGATTTATATTTGCAAAACCTAGAAACATCACCAACCTACACCGTGGCAGATGGACGTCTCAGATTAGTGTGCTTTCTGGTCACACGAGTAAGTGTGAATTTAGCTGAGTACTCGCAGGCGCTGGCAAAAGTTCACAGTGCTTCAGGGGACTCTGTTCTCCCCTCCACCCAAAGTCAGCATCAAGACAAACAGGGTTTCTGAACAAACCCTTCTGGGAAGGATGGAGGGAGGCTAATCCAGAGGATGTGGACACTCGGTGTTATGCTATGAGTCTTAAGTCAGACATGAGTTCTTGAGAAGACCCTAACCTTCATCCTGTCCTTTTACCCCACATCATAACAAAAAGAGCAGCATAGCTCACCAGTGTACACTGTCGGTGAAAGGCGGCAGTGGTACATGCCGAATGCTGAGTTCATACTTTCCATTCTGTTTCAGTCTGGGGAAAGGGAGGAAAGCACAGCCCCTAGAGCCTGGGACATGGCCTGGCAAGCGTCACTAGATCTTGTCATTATCCGATTGAGCACAATTGCACAGACTGCCAACCTCAGCCATGGGTACACTGAGACCATAATAAGGTGAAATAAAATAAAGCCACTGCATAATGCCCAGTCATAGAAAGCCCTGTTTCCTTAAACTCTTCTCCCAATCTCCTAAGTGAGCCCAAGTCCTATGATAGCCGGTTTCCTCCATCACCCAACTTAGACAACCCTCATCCTCACAATGGGTGCCTCCGCTTAAAGTAATGCAGAATAAGTCCCATTACTTCACTACAGATTGACTCTTGCTGGTCTTTAGCTAAAGGACATTTACAGACCCTACTTATTTTATTTCTTTATTATCATAGCTAATTTGTCAGATCTCAGCTTAGAAAAGTAGGGGGAAATGATTAAAAAAAAATCCAATTCATCCATCATCCTTTCCATTATTTTGCAGCAGGAGCATAGTTCAGAATATCTAAAATGCCTTTTTGTAAACTTTTCCTGTAAATTACATTTAAAATGATCTATTAAAAAAAGCAGGGGAAAAACAAGCCCAAAACAGTCAAGTATTGGGTAATTATTTGATAGTACATTCATTTGTGACTTCAAAACAGTAAGTACAAGCTTAGATTTAATTTGCAGATAGAAAAAATAAATACCGGGCAAGCTGAGGAGCTTTCAGTCATGCTGAGAGTCACTCCGCACCCCACTGCATTATGAACCGCAGAAGACCGTGCCAGGAACAGAGCCAGTTAAAAGCTGGGCAGTTGGAACTCAGCTCCAGGGGAAGCAGCCCACCCTGAAACACTACCCCAGAAGGACTTACTGGCTGGGACTCCATGTTACTTTACCACCTAATTAATTCATGCTTTCCTCATTTGTGTAGCTCACCTCTCCTATATTATATGACCTACATATGAATGCACATAGGTAAAGAGTTTTTAAAAAATAGTTCTGTTTTCTTTCATATGGTACGTCATTTAATTAAAATCGATATTTATCATCATGAATAGGTCACCAGGAATATTCTTAAGAAGTAAAATCAATGAAAAAAATTATTTCCAAATACCAGGAATTTTTATGAGCACTAAATTTAGTCATAACTGATTTTTAAAGATGTATTATTAAATATTTGTTGATCCTGATATTGTAGTTTTTCCTATTTTGGAGTGATTACTCATTTTTTGTTTTTTGGCTTTCAGAGAGTTTCTGTAGGCCTATAGAAAGCACATGAGCTGTAAGATTTGCTCTCAGAATTGCAAACGAATAACACCGTGCTTTTTTGTGTAATGCCTGACACTCCCAATGGGACTCTCTTTAGGGAGCAGGGATGCAAGGAGCCAGGAAAATACCAGAACTGTGGGCAAGTACAGAAGATGGAGAAAACACAGTAGATGCCCTGCTACGTGCAAAGCACTATGAAGAGAGAAGAGCCCAGGTGACTGTAGGGAGGAGAAACAAGCAAGGAGGAGACACCCAGGAGATTGGACAGGGACTCCAGGGCTTCAGAGGCCGCAGAGCCCTGGACCAGGTATGGGTGGGGACTTCAGGATGGACACAGCAGAGCAGGGACCAAGCACAGCGACA